TTACAGCAGTGTGCCAAGAATGCCCCGTCCACAAAGAGTATTACAACAATACCTACCCCCCCCAAATCCGGGGTATTTTTTACTGATCCAAGCCTTGCCTGCCCCCCCCCCCCCCTGCGTTCCCGAAAAGTATCCCGCTAACAAAAGGAAGAAAGAAGCTTAGTAAACCCACACACAAGAAACACCCTACACGCACACCAACCACTACTCAAGCCATCATACCCCTTTACAAGGCAGCTAAAAAAAGACAACAGGACAGAAAAAAAAAGGACGACGGCCGACCGACCCAATAAACATGACTCAACATCGCCGGCACCCTGTAGCAGGATATTTCACTCCAAGAATAGAAAAAACAACTCCCCAGTCATGCTGCCTCTCAGAAACAACTCCTCTGCGTTTGACCGGAGTCCCCCACCCCCACCAGTCGCGACACGTTGTTCCTACGACAGAGTGCAGCAAGGACACACCCCAGGCCGGCCAACCACTACGTGGCAAAAAGAAACACGCAACTAGAACAACGAAAAAAAAACTTTCATTTTTTCATTTTTCAAAGTTGTTTTTTCAAGTTTTTTTTTTCGCCGCTCTTCATTTCCAAACCCTTCTCAGTTGCGGCGCCGTGCTTCGAAACGCATTGAGGGAGGGGTGGTGAAACCGAACAAAACACATGATACACACGCAGAATGAACAGCAGGACTAACGCCCAACCCCCCCCCCCTCTCTTCGCTCTCTTCTTTTCGCCAAACACGAAAACTCACGCTCCAAGAGAGTTCCGGTCTCATACAACCTGCCACGCCAACTACTACCCCAGTCTGCCCCGAGAGCCGGAAGCGGTGCCGCCCCAAGATGCGCGCTTGTTGGACTGACGGGGCCGGGTCACACGTGGATGCGTGCTGGAATCTCACGCGCGTCCACACGGCCTGTTGGGAGATGGCACCGCTGGCCGCCCGCCGCGTTTCGGTCCGGAGCCGCGGCAGCCTTTCGCTCTCCTTCCATATCATCATCGATCAATCATGAATTGTACCCGAAAGATCAAACCAATTGCAGTAAAACAGAGACCAAACGCGGTCCGCTTGGTAATACAGAGATGGCGGAGAGCCCTACGAGGAAAAAACGAAAAGACCACACAATGCCAAAACGGACAACGAAAGAGAGCAACAACCGAAAAGAAACAAATGTCGACCATCTCTCTTCTTACTTTTTCTCGGTAGTACTTCTCTTGCAATGGCCTCAGGATGGGCGGGCGGCGAGCGTTCTCGCGTACAAGGCAGCATCTCGCGTGGGCAGTATCCCCGCCCGAAGAACCTTTCAACACCCCCAAGCGTGGTAAGCTCTAAAGCTCCGCCTCTTCTGCGGTCTGCAGAAAAGCTCACCGCACTTCCCAGCGTGAATTGAGAGAAACGAGCCCCGACGACGCCCCCCCCTCGTTCTGGGCGACTGCAGTAGTTCCCCAAACTTCGTCGTGCCCCCCCTCCTATTCTCTTCTGCGCCCACGCCACGCCACCCCTACTCTTTTCAAGTACGAGCCGCGCAGTGTACTGCAACGCTTCCAAAGCCCAGCTGCACGGCGATCCCGCAACTCAAAACTCTTGAGACTGAGATCGACGACACCGGCCGCTGCTGTGGAGAGCCACGCCCACCCCTGCAAGCGGCCATCGAGGCATGAGTCACGAAAAACAACACAATCTACCGCCGTCCCCTCCCCTCCCCCACCCCATGTTTTTCGTACGTACGCGCCGCGACCTCTTTCCCCGTTTTTTTGCAAGG